GGGGGGGGGGGGAAGAGAAGAATTAGGTTATGTTTTGTTTTGTTTTTTTGGTTTGTTATAATATCTTCGCAGACAAACAAATGAGTTTTATACAAGACAATCTCTACGCTGTTTGGGTAATTAATAGTAGTTGACTCGAAGCGCGTTTTCACTTTCTAATTTCCAATGATCAACATAGGTGTCCTGACTTGGAACTTGGAAGCACTGTTTTTTTCTTCAAAGAACTTTCGTGGATATGTCATTCTGTTTCTATATTTAGACATATATCTTATACATATTCTGTATATGTATATCTATAAATAGTTTTGTGTCAAGTGCTATCTATATATAGTTCAACGCCAAGTGATTAATTGATTAGTTTTTTTGAATCATTCTAATCTTGGAAAACATGTCAAGACTCATTCCAGACCCTTTTGCTCAAGGAACGATGCTTAGGTTGGAGACGCCTCCAATAACAACTGTCTTGTTAGCAACTAGGAGCAATGTGTCATGCTGAAAACAAATTGATGGCATATATGGGTTAGGCGTGGCTTCCATGAAGCAAGACTTTCCGGGACAAACATTAGAGAGGAACCCAAAGGATTTTGTAATTATATACTAGATTTGGTGGTATTCAACACATGCGTCTTTCACAGACATTAACTTTATTGCTGAACATTCAAAAAAGAAATCAAAATTATTTATTTCAAAAATTATTTATTTCAAAGTATTTTTAAATGAAAATAGGATTTAATTTAAAATAAATTTATAATTTTGAGATTCCTCCCTAATTATCAATGTCTATTGCAGAATTCAAATATGAATATGTACACAATTATGAAATTTGATTCATATATTGTAGTTAGATATGAAGTTTATTCATATTTTTAATAAATAATTAGTATAACCATTTACATATTTACTATCAATTGCTTAGATTAATTGAAACTAGATCATGACCCGCGTGAATGCGCGGATTTTATTTTTTCGGATGTACTCTATATAATTTAGTTTTATATAGTTTTGAGTTTGTCCAATTTGATTTTATGTTTAAAGAACGATATCAAAACGGTCTTTTGTATTAATAGCGTTAAACAGTGTATCATGTAGATGTAATCATGCAGTGAAAACACTAATTCAGTACGTTTGTTCGAAGTTCAAAATCAAATTCCAAATTAACTATTTGCATTAAAAAATAAGTTGAGAATTTAATTACTTCTAATATTAATAATTATCCAAAAAATTAAAATAATATATAAATTTATAGAATTTTTAGCCTTAACCTTTATTTTATAAGTTAGATCAAATTCAAAGTTAACTTTGGTGTTAACTTTGTAAGCATGTATATTTTATGATGAAAAAGCATAAATAAATTTAACAAATATCTTGGTAATTTATATAGTTAAAATATTTTTCATTTAAATCAGTATTTTAAAATTCAACACGGATTGTGGTTAAACCAGTAGTCTGATAAATCAATTTTGATTTTTAAAAATATCTATATTTAAAAAATCAATAAAATCCGAGACTAACCGATTAACTGATATTAGTATTTAAACCTGTAAAAATAAGTTAATTTTCATTGTTTTATATATTATTTGAATTTTTTAATTTATCTAAATAATTTGAAAGAAAATTGTGAAAATATTAAAAAATGTGAGATCAATATTTTGTATTGTTTGGACATAAGATTAATGATAGTATTGTTTGGAAACAATATAAAAAATAAGTATATTGTTTAGAAACATAGATATCATTATAAAAAATTAAATATATTGTTTGGAAATAGTAGTATAAAAAACAAATATTAGTAATTTAATGTATGTTTAATTATAAAGTAGAAAAATGTATTTAATTTAAAAACTTACAAAATAAATTTAATTTAGTGTTTCTGTTTCAATAAGATAGATATATAGTAAGTTTTCAACAAATTTATAACTTTTAATTTATTCAAAAACTGAACAACTGTTTTTAACTTTAGTTAAAAACACAGCTCATTAAAACAACAAGTTGAAAAGGTTGCAAATTAAGATCTCTCTCGGCTCTGTAAGAAGAAATCGCAGAAAGACAGAGAGGAGATATCACTTGAAAGACTTGTCTGGTTTTTCATGGTAAGAAAACTGTAAGAATGAGAGCACTGTGGAGCCACTTGAGTCTCATTTCCAATTACAAACTTCCTCCAAAAATCACCAGATTATCCGCAGCGAATATGATGACCTCAAATCGAAATCAACTACCAATGATCTCAACTGAAGATCCAGAGCTCAGAGATTTTGTAGGGTTCTTAGAATCTCTCAAAAACTACGAGAAATCAGGTGTGCCCAAAGGAGCTGGAACTGATTCAAGTGAAGGGTTCGATCTCGGTAGAATGAAACGTCTCATGCTTCGTCTCCACAATCCTCATCTCAATTACAAGGTTCCTCCTTTTCCTCTCTTCCGGATAACTGATGAAAAAACTTGTTAATTTAAAGTTGGAATCTTTATGTGGTTTTAGGTTGTTCATGTGGCTGGAACAAAGGGAAAAGGTTCAACTTCTGCTTTTTTATCTAATGTCTTACGAGCTGGAGGTTATTCAGTTGGTTGTTATTCTAGGTAAAATACTGAGACTATGGACTTATTTGTATTTTGAAGTTTTGAATATTCTTGGTTACTAACATGAGTGTAGCGTAGCCCACATATTCTGAGTATCAAAGAACGCATTTCCTGTAATGGAGAACCTGTCTCTGCATCCACTCTCAATGATCTTTTCTATTCAATCAAACCCATTATCGAACAGTCTATTCAAGAGGAAGATGGTTCCTTGAGTCATTTTGAGGTTAGTTAAAATGTTTTTTTTTATAGATTCTCCCTACCTTCCACACAGTTTTTGGTTTTCTTATAGATATGTTTCTTTTTGTCAGATTCTCACTGGGATAGCCTTTTCTTTGTTTGCAAAGGAAAACGTCGACATTGCAGTTATAGAGGTTGGCTTTTGTGCAGAAAAGATAATCATCTATGCTTATGTTTACCACTGTCTTATGTAATGATTTGGTATCATCAGGCTGGGCTAGGAGGAGCTAGGGACGCTACAAATGTCATTGAAAGTACAAATCTTGCTGCATCAGTCATAACAACCATAGGTGAGGAACATATGGCTGCTCTTGGAGGTTCTTTGGAAAGTATAGCAGAGGCCAAGTCTGGAATTACTAAACATGGTCGTCCAGTTAGGTGCCTTTTTTTTTATGTATTGCCTTTTATAATCATTAGCTTATAAACCACATTGATTGATTTAGTTTTATAAAACTTGTTAGGTGGTTTTAGGTGGACCGTTTCTTCCTCATATCAAGGACATTCTTTGCTCTAAAGCAGCATCAATGTCATCACCGGTTGTATTGGCATCTGATATTGGATCTGGTTCATCAATCAAAGGCATCATCAACAGAAAAGGGGTCGGACTTTGTCAGTCCTGTGACATTGTCATACAAAATGAAAAAGATGAGAAACCAGTAAGTTTCAAAGAGTTTGTAGCAAGAAGTTCATTAGTGATTTCAACAATGTGTAACATATAATAAACGCAGGTTGTTGAGCTTGGTGATGTAAAACTACGCATGCTTGGACACCACCAGCTACAAAATGCTGTTTCTGCCACATGTGTATCTCTCTGTCTTCGTGATCAAGGTAGTATGATACATTTTTGAATCTCTCGGTAATGTGCATATTAAACTTTTATTTACTTTCTTTATGGGCGATTCAGGATGGTCGAGAGTGACAGATGAAGCTATTCGGATTGGTTTAGAGAATACTCGTTTACTTGGTAGAAGTCAGTTTCTCACACCAAAAGAAGCAGAGGCTTTACAACTAGCTGGAGCAACAGTGCTTCTTGATGGAGGTTTTGATCTCTCTTCTTGAAACATACTTGTCTATGTTTCGAATCTAAGGCGATGTTCGATTTTTTTGTCTGTCTTTCAGCTCATACCAAAGAATCTGCACGAGCTCTAAAGGAGATGATAGAGAAGGAATTCGCAGAGAAGAGATTAGTGTTTGTGGTAGCAATGGCTAGTGACAAAGATCATGTGTCCTTTGCAAAAGAACTTCTCTCAGGTGTGAGACCAGAAGCAGTAGTTTTAACAGAAGCAGACATTGGTGGAAGCAAGGTTAGATCAACTGCGTGTTCGGTTTTGAAGGAATCATGGATAAAAGCTGCTGATGAGTTAGGTTTAGGGTTTATGGAAGCTTCAGAAGACAAAAATGTGTTTGGTTCCTTAAAGCTTGCGTATGAGATTCTCAAACACAACACAACCGGTGAAGCAGAAAGAATGGTTATAGTCACTGGTTCACTTCATATTGTATCCTCAGTCTTATCTTCTCTGCAACATTAAGTTTCTTCTATCTTCTGTTCTAATTTGTCACATTTATAATTTTATTGTAACAAATCAGTTTATTTGTTATACCCATATACAAAATGATGATTGTAACATTTTGTTAGCACATTTGGTTGTGACGCAGGTCATCCATGATTACTCCAAACTTAGATTTATACCTCTAAACTTAAACTCAAATTTCTGATTAAATTGACAGGAACCACATAAACTAATACACTACTAACATCTTGTGTTTCGTTGTTGTTGCCATCATAAGCTTAATTACTGCCATCTTAACCTCATCAGCAAACACAAAAGAACATAAAAGAAAGAGGACTAACTCATTTTATTGCTTAACTTGTTAAAAACAACCATAATAGTCTCCAGAGATAGGACAGCACAGTTATAAGTTGTAAACCAAAGCAAAACCAACCAATGCTAAACAACAAAGAGACTTTTTACAAACATAACTCGACAGTTTTCAACCCCATTTACTCCAAAAGAAATATAGACAAAGTCTACACCTGCATTTCTTGGCATGAAAAAGAGCTTAAAGTTCACAAGTTCCCTCTCGCTCTGCATATCAACGTACGTCGACTTGACATGTGATAGAGCGTCTTGGGATATTCAGGAGTTTCTTCAAGATTGCATTTTGATTTGCAGAATAATCCAAACGCAGAGTCAATTTCTCGAGGACTACAGAATTCTTTAGAAAGTACCTTACTAGCTTCATTTCTCCAGCATCTCCCGAGATACCGGTTTTGATATCAACAAACTTGAGTGAGGATAGAAAACACTCTGGAAGGTAGGATGAAAAGTCGATTTTTTTCATCTCCTTAGAATGCTCTTTCTTATAGGCACCATACCATTCCTGAGGTAAAGAAAAAACATAATTTATATTCAGAGAAGTGAGAAAGCTCACAGGGTTTTTCTAGCAAAATCATTACCAAGATGAGAGATTTCAAATTTGGGCAGCTCTCAAGAAAGGATAGTAACCATTTCAAACCAGGTGTATTAAGATAAACATCCAGGCGTGACAAGTAACCAAACTTAGGGAGCGGTGCTAATTTTGAGTACTGCCAGAACATCTGTAACCAAAAAGAATTACTCAAGAAATTTTCATGAAAGAAACATGTAACAAGTCCAATACCCGAACTGACACAACATATATATATATATATATATATATAACATATATACCTCTAAACTGTCTGCATATATATTCATATCCCTGACCTTCGAAATCCCAGTGAGAAAACTGTAGATGATATTTTTCTTGGACGAAACGCTTGTTTCATCAAAACTGCGCAAACGAAAGCTGAGAGCAATGTCTAACTTGACTATGGAATCCAAGTTGTTTACTACATAACTGTCGGAATGGTTGTCATCGACTTTCAAACAACATAGCAGGGGAGCATCAATCACAACTCTACATTCATCGTTAATTTAACTTAAATTTATGCTGAGCTTCTTTAGTGACAAAGAGTGTATGCGAAAGACTTTAGGAGCAAGGCAACACCCGGCAATCTTCAACTCTTCCAAGAGAGGAGAGCAAGAGACAAGTTTCTCAAAGATGGCAGCCCCATCGGGAGAAGAAAACCAAACTTCTCTCAAATGCATAGTCTTCAAACAAGGTAAGGAAACAATCCCAGAAGAATCAACCAAAACCAGTTCATGGAGTTTTAAAGATACCAAGGTCTTACAGATATAAAGGCTTATGGGAATCTCATATTTAGAATGACACCAAACATCTAGGTGTTGGACCTTACTCTCAATTGCAGCATCAATCCACGACCACGAGGTGAGATAAGAGACATCATATCTACTAGTTTGTTTGCGTTTTCATCAAGAATTAGCTTTGATCTTGGGTAAGCATGAAGCTATATAGGAACCAAAAAACTTGTCACCAAAACTCTTGAAAGCGTTAAAGTCTGGGAATTTAGCAGAATATAGTAGCCTCCCCATTTGCGTCCTCCTGCACGGTCCACGACTATAGTAGCCGTTGGGTCTAACATCTACATGATCGGCGGTGACGAGCCCTCTTCTTCTGAAGTCTCTGTCCTTGATTGTCGGTTCAACACGTGGCGCGAGGCTCCGAGGATGAGAGAGGAGAGGAGCTCTTCCGCGTCGAGCGTGATTGATGGGAAGATTTACGTAGCGGGAGGGTGTGAAGATGTCAATTCGGAAAACTGGGTGGAGGTGTTTGATCCAAAGAATCAAACATGGGGAAATGTGACCAACCCTGGCACCGAAACACACCCAGGAGCTTCAGTGGTAAGCTTTGGAATTGGACGAAAACTGTACATCCTTGGTGCTGAGAAGGAGGTGGTGTACGATCCCGATGAAGCTAGTTGGAACCCGATAGGATTGGATGCAGATCTGGTTTGTGCAGGGTCCTTATTTTCCGGCGTTATAGGAGACGTCATGTTCCTTTGGATTGATGGAGATTTTATGTGGTATGACAGTAAGGTAAAGGTCATGGAAGCCGTTGTATGGAGATAGATTTTTGCCTGATATCGGTGGGCATTGTAAAATGGTGGATTTTGGTGGAAACATGGCTATCTTCTGGGAAAGTTACCGAGATAATTGTGATGGACATGTTGAAGAAATATTTATTTGGTGTGCTGAGATTGCCCTTGAGAGGCGCGATGATGATGAGTTGTGGGGGCTTGTCGAGTGGTGTGATGTCGTGCTCACTTCCCACGGGCCATGCTCGTTCAATGCAGATTTTCTTTCTGCTACTGTTTGATGGAAATGCTACCGAGATTAGAACATGCTTGAAGGGTGATGGAAGAATGTTCACTAGTGCGGGACGTTTCGTTTTTTGTATATTTGCTTGCGTTCTTGAGGTATCTCTTTGGTTGATACTTGATATGCGACTCTCATGAATTATTGTTTAGTATTTGCATTTGTTTCACATGAATGTATGTGTTGATGATTTTAGCTTTGCTAGTTCTTATGGAAGTTGACCAATTAAATTGTTCTGAAAACAACTTTTATTTGTGTTTATGATGAACGGCTCAAATACATGGACAAGCGAATGGCCGTTCCTAAACGTAAATAAAAGATTTCTTTGTTTGTCGTATCATCAACTTAAGTCGATAAGAAGTGATCGAGCATGTGGGAAAGAAACATACCATTCTGAATCAAAACCAGATATTTACTATCATTTGCACTTTGCAGAGATAAGCACTTGAGAACATGTAAATTTTATTTACAATATTATGACCAACCGGCTTCAATCTGAATTGACACACAAATATTTTTGTCAAAGGAGAAATAGCAATAATTGAGAATTTCTTGATTCTAAATTTAAGTGTTATCCTGATACATACAAGTATAACACAGTCGGTCTTCAGAAGCAGAAAAGTTTTCTTTTCAATCAATGTATCCTATTGGTATGAAAATAACACAAACTGATAGTTTGGCCGAGTGGTCTAAGGCGCCAGATTTAGGCTCTGGTCCGAAAGGGCGTGGGTTCAAATCCCACAGCTGTCAAATAATTTTGTTTTTTTTTTTTTTGACCTCCCCTGTTTGTCTTATTATTTTAATTAAATCTTGGACGTCGAGCAAATACATCTCTTGCACATGGAGGCAAGTGACGGGCCTGAAGGCCCTGAACTGATTTGTGGCTATGGGAAGCTTTGTGTTTTTTTGTGAGTATCCTTTCGTCTGGTGATGCGTATTTTCCTTGAGAGACTTTTGTGGTTTGTGATTCATTATTGAACACAATGAGGAAAGATGAAATGATGAACACAACTAAGCAGAAGTTCACGCCATTCCTACTGAAAACCAATTGCGAAGCCCATATGAGAGAGTACGTAGAGAAAACCGGATGGGGACAGCTGATTAATTAGTCTAATGCCAATGAAAGTTGGTCCAATGGTTCGTGAAGAAAGACAATTTTCTAAAACTTGTGCTTGTTGTTAACTTGTTATTGTTGTTGATTCAGGTCAGGTCGGTCCGTGGCTATTCAAAAGAAGCTGGAGTGACTATCCTCGTACTTTCTTCTTTTTTCCACTAATAACATTTATGTATCTTTCATTTTAAAATGCATGGTGTTCACATAATGTAGTTTAATGATCTCGTTTAACAAAATAAAACCAACATTGTTCCACTTTCGGAAGAGAACTGGACTACTCTAGTAAAAAAAAAGTTAGAAACTAGCAATACGTGTATATCATATAAAATCTCAAGACTTGGATAGACAATAATGCATAAATAAATGTGAAAATATAATCAAATCCCTGGTAACTAAATGCCTAATTATTGGATTTGAACCAAAGTCGGAACATAACCTGAGATCATTGGGTGAGAGTTTCCTGCACCGTGATGTACAACTTCGGTGTATCTATCCTCTGCTACAATGTGTAAGCTGTTTTTGCGGACACCTGTACACAATACAACTGTAACACCCGTCACCTCCTACTTGGAGTACAGCATGTCCCCTCCGACGCGTCCTCAAATAACAATGTGACACCCGTCTCCCTCTCTCTAGAGACAACATGCCACCAATAATATCTCGTAACATAAAAATCCAAAAACCCAACTACCCTCGCCCAAGCCCAAATAATAATCCGAATAAAAAGTCCAATGGCACCAAGTCCGTCCAAATATCACCTTATAGCTTGTCTCACCTGAAATGGGAAGAAAGAAGGGTGAGCGACTGGGGAGTCACTCAGTGAGGTATGGGATGCTACCTCGAAGTCTGTAGACCCGGACATAGCACTCCGAATAAATATAAATTAATTCTAATGCATGTCAAACACGGTACCTAAAATACCCAAGCAAACAAACAATAGCCCTAGCGAGTCGCGCACTCGCTGCCCGCTAACCGCTAGCGAGACTACATGCTGGGATAGTGCCCAGTAACACCACCCGAAGACGATTTATCGACCGCACTAGACTACGACCCGACCGGTCGACTGAAGCCGTCCGTAGTCCCCACATACAATCCGACATACATAAGTCCGTCTCTGTATCCGGCCAAACAACTCTAGTTAACTAATTTACATTAAGCGAAGCAATCAACGTTGAACCATCTGACACCTTAATCCCGGTTTATGCAAACAATTCTAATCCTAAACAAGCAGACACCAATCAGACCCTAAATTAGACTTAATTCACAAAGACGGAACACATTAGAAATAAATTATATTTATTTAAAGTTCTAGGTCGCGTACGAATCGTTCGGAAGTAGACCCTCACCTTGGTAACTAGGGAAAAGTGGTATGTATGAACTCCAGCTGCTCAAATAGATCCCAAATCTGAAATCAGATCGAAATTCCGAGTCAGAATGACCTTCGAACGGTCGAAAACGGGCGATTACGGAAAAGTCAACCCGCTGGACAAAGGTCAACCCGGTCAACTCTGACCCAAGCCGGTCAACCCTTGACCAAATTGAAATCGAATTGGACCAATCGGTTTTCCTTAACCGGATTCGATTTCAATTGAACCGGATCCAAATCAATTACAAATCGGTTTACTCCTAACCAAAATTCAATTGATTTTAACCACCGGTTTACCTTAACCAAATCGCAATCGGATTGAACCGGGTCAAACCAGTTGACCGAGTCAACCGAGTTGACTCGGCCGAGTTGACCGAGTCACCGGCGAGTCACCGGCGACAGTCACCGGCGGCGGCTCCGGCGGTGGAGACACGGCGGTCTGGCGGCGGCGCGTGCACTCCACGCGCTCAAACGGTGAAACTTTGACCGGCGCGTGCGGCTTCGTCTGAGGTCGGATCGAGGCATTTTTGGTGTCTACGGCTTCGTCTTGACGAGTAGAACACGGTGGTGGCCTTGCATGCACGAGATTCTCAACGGTTAGGAAGTTATGGTAAAATTACTAAACGAACGAAACTAAACTCTAACTCACTGAAATTTCCGGTGGTTACTACGGCTGCGAATAGTGATGACGAGCTGGACATGCTCCTGGCGTGCGGTGGTTCCAGTGGCACCTCCGGTGGTTGATTCTTGAGAGGTTTCCCATGGCTTCTTCTCTCTATCTCTCTCACTCTCTCACTCTCTCTCTCTCTCTCTCTCTCTCTCTCTCTCTCTCTCTCTCTCTCTCTCTCTCTCTCTTTCTCTAACTCTCTCTCTCTCTTGGATTTGGCAACAAAATAAACTAATGGGGTGGAAGCTGGGTATTTATAGGCCAATATTTGGGTTTAGCATGCTAACAATTCCTAAGGTAGAAATTGGGGTTGTTACAATTCTTCCCCGCTAACAAGGAATTCGTCCTCGAATTCGAGTCATCTGTGACTGCTCAAATTCATTGTAACAAAACTCCAAATAATCAATTTGCTTGGTCTCTGAGATCTTCTTCTGAACCCCGTCTCTCTCAACAACTCTGACAGACACTAACGACATTCCCTGAAATGCTTTTTTCTGACGATCCTCAATCCATGCTGGCTGAAAAGATGTATGGTGATTGCTGCAACATAACTCTGGCTCTGTCAAGACTAACTTTAAAACAAAAACCTGAAAATCTGGTAACTTAATTGATGAATTCAATCCCAAAGTAACTTCTACAATCCGCTCCACAATAGAATACAATCCCATAATTTTGGTTTACGCTTCATTAGCTTCAAGGTCTTATATCCTCCCTGAGATGTCCTTATTTTAAGTTATACTCGATCGCCTACCTGAACTCCAATTCCTTACGATTCTTATGTTCATAACTCTCTGACGATCATAGCCTTTCCCAAAGCCAACTTTGAGCATGTCCACTTGCCCTACCGTCTCTCGAACCAGTAATGGTTCTATAACTCGTTGCTCCCCCACTTTTGTCCAGGCTTATCATGAAAATCTTCATATGGCGCTATCTCAATACCTTGATTACAATTGACACTGTGGGCAAACTCTGCTAGATGTAGACACTTCCATAACTTCATTTCTCTTGCAAGAGGATCTCTGAACATAACCTCAAAAATCTGAATGATCCTCTTTAACTGACCCTCTGTCTCTCGATGATAAGTAATACTCAATATATCTTTACCCCAGGCGCCTTCTGAGAGTCTCTCCATATGTAGACGTTAATTGTCATCGCGACCGATACAATGCTTACAAGAAATCCATGCAATCCTTACAATCTCTCTGATGTACTTTGTGCCAACTGGTCAGCTCCAACTGCCTTCAAAATTATTTGGGAGATAAATGATTTAGTGAATACATCCACAATCCCTCATATCCTTTCTACACGTGATGATCCACAATCCCGAGGTTTCGTTTCCACTCTGGTAAAAGCAAACTCAGCAATAACTTGATAGGAAACCGGTCTTCAAACATAACCATCAGACACTGCGACGCAACACTACAATCTTTTCCAAACTAGTCCAGTGATAGTAACACTTCATATCTTGTTATCCTGGGTGTTCCTCGGGTGGACATAGAGACGCGAGTGGTGTGTTTGCTGTAAGATCCTTTTTCTTAACCGCTCAACATCCAACACACCAACTCGATTCTCTTACAAGAACAACCTGCTCCAAAACTATATGATGTACATCACTCTCAACCTCGATCCACCTAACCACATCCATATTGTTATCTTGAGCTTAGTGTAACCTCCAAGGTAAATTTGTATGTTCCAATGCTCCAATGCTTCAATGCCGACTGTATCCTCCTCTACTGAACTGCACATAATCTTGAAGCTTGTAAGCGTTCCAGCAACTCTTGATACTCCGTAGTTCCTGACATATCTCTCATGTACCTACTTAAGACATTCACCACTTGGTTGGCCTCACCAAATGTCATTCTATATTCAAATTGTAGACTGCTACCAACTCAATCCATCTGCACGTCCTAAAGTACAAGTTTAATGAATGTGCCCATATATTTCACTCTGATGATCCCCATGAATCTGAACTTCCTTGCTATACAATGATGAT